GAGACCTATCCGTTGAAAGCCAACCGACATTTAGGAGGAAAATGTCTCCATCTTCAGAGAAGAAAAGTAAACTAGGCAAGGAATCAGCATGAAGCAGCTATCAAGCAGAGATCTGATTGATAAGACGGAGGTGACACGTTCCTTTTGAACGTCGGTTCGTTTCCAGCGGGCTACACGGCGCTACATCCCAGAAGACAGAATTCTCCATTGCTTTATTGGCTTGCTCACTTTCATTCTTGTAAACAAGAAGTGGTTCTCGGTGGTAAGCGCTTTTTTTTAAATGTTTGATATCCTATATCTGTTGGAATGGAGCCAGTATTCGACGGTTTTCTATTTTCCGTTATCCCGTTCTTTTATCGAATTCGACGGTACTTACTGTCACTTCCAGCAGCGAACAGTGCCCCTTCGTCACTGCACAGTTGCAAAAAAAGAATTTCTAAAGCAACTTATCGGACTTGAATTTAACGATAAATAAACTAAGTGCACACACATAGACTCTATGCGTTACTCAGGCTACAAATGTTCCGGCCAGCGTACCGGGCTGCAGAAAACTTTATTTAAATTCGAACTAAAGTTAAGAATTTGTTTTCGAAACTACTGCATAGATGCACGTTACATACACATCTGAGTGGAAAAGTTTATTTCAGACAATCAACGTTATGTCGAATATTTGAATTTATTAAGTTCTTGTTTATCTAATGACAATTTCAGCAAATTAGTTTATATAGCGTTAAATGATAGGATGACTAATTAATACTGAATTAAAAGGGATATAGAAGGAAACTGCTTTATCATAATTTGAGGTATTAATCCGCCATTTTTTAAGGAACTGAGAAAATCCATGAATAGCGTCAGTCAGAATAATTATTCTTGGACTGAGACATGAACCTCGGACCTGCGGAATATGAAGCCAGTCCTAACTACTTGACCATGACTTTCTGTGGAATACTTGAATGATCTGTGTGTCACAGAGGGTGAAAGTTTTAATCACCGTCAGCTCCAAAGTTCAGCAGATCATGACTTTTACTGCTAATGATCGTGTCAGGTGCAGTACCTACGGAGCAAGCAGAAGCAACTCCTTGCTGGTGTATTCGCCACTTGTCCAGCAGCTGCTACTGCGTGTCGTCAAGTAAAATTGAGAAGATTTGAATTATAAATTGGGAGGGATGTGGAAAGATGAGGTAATGGCCTATTTAATTGGATAGACTTGAAAGGATTCTGACGATGGTGTATACTGTACTTCTTCTGGCTTGTTTTGGACTTCATCCATCGTCTGGTATGTGAAAGACAAAAGACCACGACGTTTCGGAGACCGGATCTGTCTCCGTCTTTCTAACGGGCCCAACTGAGTAGGTTTATTCTTCCCCACCCACCTGAAGACGGAGACAGATCCAGTCTCCGAAACGTCGTGGTCTTTTGTCTTTTACATACAAGACGATGGATGAAGTCCAAAACAAGCCAAAAGAAGTACGGCCTATTTAATATATCATTGTCTAAAGCACTGTTTCTCAACCGATGCGCTACTTAGTTTATGATGACCCAAAATATTTCATTTTTTTTTTCACTTTATTTATTCTGGTCCGTCACACTAGTCAGTACTATATAATGATTTGACTATACCATCTTGTGACTCAAAGGTATATTTATATGATGCCTTTACATGTTTCGGTCAATTAATGACCATCTTCAGAAGGCAAATAACACACTGAGGCAATTAATATTACATAAATCTTAGTACGTTAAGTTCAAAGTTGTCCAAAGTTTTATGTACAAAGATTTATTTAAGCTAAAATGTGGTGAGTTAAAATATGAAAAAAATTCTTAACATTCAAAATCTTAAACTGCTAAGTTTCGTGTCTTCGTGACCCTTCTATCAACGGGAGATTGGGTAGATTATCTCCCTTGGAGGTCCGGGCAGTGTTTATTTCTTCTTTATATAGTTGGTTAAGAGCCTCTATTTGTTGTTGGGTGCTTCTCATTTCGTTGTTTGTTGATTTGATCTGCACTCAACAAACAGTTACCTGCAGTAATTACCTGCAGACAGTATGCATATAGAGCGTGCACCCATAGACACACGAATGAAAGCGTCCGATTTTCATGCATATGCTTTAAAAAATGCACTGAAATGACGGCATTGCGTCACTGTTGTATCCTTGGACAGGTTAACGTTACGTATATGCATATAATACCCTCACTTACTACTGAGCGACATCACTTGATATAAAAACAATACAGTGTTCAAAACAGCTTCAGCTGTCTCTGGTTGAATCATAACTTAGTCCACGATATGTTTCCACCATATAGTGACATCTGGGCCTCGCCATAGCTCAAGCGGTTAGTCGCCGGCTTCCCACCGCGGCGGCTCGGGTTCGATACCGGGTCTGGTCAAGTGGGATTTGTGGTGGACAAAGTGGAGCTGGGGCGGGTTTTCTCCGAGTGCTTCGGTTTCCCCTACCAATCTTCATTCCACCAAATTCTCCATCATCATAATCACCCAGGGCAGGCTACAATAGGCCAATCGGTGGCCGCCGTGCCGAGGGGACCCAGTTGGACTCCACCTCCCACTAAGCGAGTTAAAAAAATAGTGATATCTGTGTATGATGATCTACTTACATTGTTATTATATTGGTATTATAAGGGCATTCAGAACTGTACGTCTAGAAATTTATTATTTGACAATTTTTGTGGCTGTTAAATTTACGTAGTATGTAAACTAATTTTTAAACCTTTAACATGATGTAAAATAGTATATGTATGCCTTGGCATTCCTCTTTCGTTCTGATTCATATTTACCTTGGAGATGTTTGTTTCGCGAATGACGGCCCGGTTACATGGGTTCCGGTCGCCAATGTGCGCTTCCTCTACACACACCGACGACCCGTGAAGCTACATTGAGGACTCTTATTCAGTAGATAAGCTGGTGCAGCAGGACGCTTAAATGAAATGTACTGACCTATATGCTTCAGCTGAAACTCTGTGCTACAGGTCGAAAGGACACGGTTCAATTCCCAATGAGAGTATTGGATTTTTCAATTTACCTAATCCTTCAAGCCAATTGCACTGTGGTCCTGGGGTCGACTAAGCCTCTAACAGGAATAAGTACCAGGAAACTCCCTGGGGGTTGAAGGGAAGCCGGCGTATAAGGCTGATGATCTCACCTCCATGTGTGAGTCGATTGTCTAGAAAATATGGAAACCTCGACCTCTCACATTTCTATGGGCCTCCAAGGACTGTTACAAGGATAGCCTTACCTTTGTTTCCGTGACATAATCCTCATCTTCCACAGTGCGAAATGAAAGCTATAGTGTGTTCCCCACTATATTTCAATTTGTGTCTAATGCTTAGACCAGTGGAGGGCTCTTGTGAACAAGGCAATGAACCTTTGGGTTCCATAAAATGCTGGGTAATTCTTGATTAGTTGGCGGCTCTTCCAGAAGGGGTCAGCTCCATGAGTAAGTATGTAAGTCTACTGCTTACACTTCGGAATTTTATATGCTTTGATATCATATTCTGAGAGGACAGGCTCTAAATGCGACAACCTGCATGAAACACTGGGATACATGACGTCAAATACGAAAATAACCCAGCGTAATTGGGAGGCTAAGCCGTCCTGGTAGCTTCCACTTTCTTGAAAGAATGATATGCCTCACAGTATCTTATTTCATGAGTTCTAATGATGCGTGAGCTCGAACGCTGGGATCGTATATTCGAATCCCCCTCAAGGCATGGATATCTGTGTGGGTTTATCCTATGTTTGTGATGTTCTGTGTATAGGTAGCGGCCTTGCGACGGATTGATCCCCCATTTAAGGAGTCCTATCAACTATGTATATAAATTTTGAACCTGAAGAAACCGGCCAGGATCAACGAAGAGGACTCTAAAGCCATACATAGATATACAACCTCTTTATTACAACCGTTACAACACAACTAATGTCAATCAGTGCCTAGTTTTGACTCTTCTATATTTCGGCTATTAATAGTCATCATCATACATAGATAGGTTAGTGAGTGAGTGAGTGAGTGAGTGAGTGAGTGACTGCAAATTATCTTCAATTTTTGTACCATACAAAGCATTTAATTATTATAAGATGTATTTCAAATAAAAATATTTAGACGTGACAGCAATAATCAGATTTTAAACCAATATTTATATTCACAACATTAGGAAAACTGGGCATCTCTCATCAGAAAACCGACCTCCGTTTGGCCAGTACGTGAATCACAAAAGACTGAGAATATCTTGTCTAATGGAGTAAGAAATATTTCAAGAATCTCATTTGTCGCAGTTATGGGTCCACACTCGACATCAGGAGAGCTGACCAGAACATTTAAGTGCATTTTACTGAGTCACGAAAGCTTCTGAAGAACGTGGCATACGTGTATATATGCCGTGCACATATTTTCAATTCTAGCTGGTCACAGTGGCTGCCCCCTAAGGGATATACTGTCTTCTACCTGTTGAACACTCGCATCTTGGGTTCGAATCCCACTCAAGTCGTTGATATACCTCTGTGTTTTTGTTGTCTCCTGTAGGTAGAGGCTTTGCAAAGAGTCCTACCAAACCCCTGTGTTAAGTTCAGAGCTCCGGAAAACGGAATGGGTACTGGGGTTCTTCCCCTGGAGGTAAAGCAGCAAGGGCGTGAAGGTGCACACTCATATCTCCATCTAGCGCGGAGACAAAGAATGCTGGAGCTACATCTACACTCCTCCTACGCATTCGTGGTATGGGGCTTAATTAATTAAGTGAATTGACGTCTTTACATTTACTCCGCAAAACGGAAGACTCTGGACCGCTTTGGTCAATAGCGTCACAAGAACAAGAAAAAGATTCTTAAGTATATTTCGCATCAATGAATTCATTATTTTCGCTGCCAACTACGCAGTCCGAAAGAATACTCGTATGTGATGATGTTCACCGTTATATATTTAGAGGTGCGTTGGCGCTGCGAAGGGCAGAGAAGTAACTAAACTACTGGATGTGTTCTGCGGAATACCTACCTTGTGGGCATGGCCGATCAATTGCAAAGCGATTGCACACCAAATTGTCCGATACGTTCACACACGTGTAGCACGTCACACCTGCTGTGGACCAATCAAAATACAACACAGTTTAGTTTCATTTCATCAGCATAAAACATTTCCTTTGACATTATCGTTTATCTGTAGGATTAAAACTGAATGAGAATACATTATTTATGAAAAGTGCCTGCTGCAAATCCCGATGTTTTGTGTTATTACAGGACTGTACAGTACATTCAACAACTTTCTATAACTCTAAGAGAAGTCCGTGATATTTCCGAAAGCCAAGACTTGACTGTTAACAAATTTATGAACACATATTCACCAAATTTTCTGAAAATATTGTAAACACTTCCGAATACAGGAAGCTTAAAGCCAATATAATATGTTATAATTTATGCTAAAACATTAGAAACTTCAATACAGATACAATTCAGTTTACAGCATCGGTTCACAATGCAAAATACACTTCCTCAAATGGAAAATTAAGCTAATAAATTATCCTAATTGTTGTAAGTGTGGCGCATAGTACGTTTAACAAGATTCAATCTGTGTTGCGTGAAGGATAACGTGTTCGCATTTCATGTTATCGCCTCGAGAGGTCTCTGCTTATGAATTCGGTATTATATCTGATCTCATTTAGGTAAAGCACTCCCTTTTTATGGGAGCCGGGATAGAGTAGTCGGTATAGTGACTGAGTACGGGGTGGAGGAATGAGGGGTCGGAATTCGAGTTGAGGTAGAGTCAAGAATTCTCTCTTTTCCACGCCGTCCAGACCGGCTTTGGGCCCACCCAACCTCCTGTTCAATGGGTACCGTGGGAGATTTATCCAGGGATAAAGCTGCGGGAGCGTGAAGCTAGCCACTCGCGTCCATCTATTGTCAAAGAATGGTGGAGCTATACATCGACTCTCTCATACGCCTCCATGGTCTAGTGCTTAATTAGTTAAGCACAGAGACAACTTTAATTTTTTATTCACCTTTCATACAAAAAAATATTCTAGGTAATTTTTCTCATAAATATACCATTCAGGATCATCTTTGAGAAGTTAATATTTATTCAAACTCCCACAGAATCCTTGTTCTGTGGAACCATGAAATTCGTCGCCAAATTCACAACATCTTCGTTGCACCATAACCTACATCTTGTAAGGAAATTATTTTTAATTTATAGCAAGCGTGCAGTGAATGTCGGGGTATTATAAGTGGCTGATATCTCTCGGAGGGAGAAGGGAGAATCTTGAACAAACACAGACGCGATTGGTATTCTCCTGACCAAGATTAAAACCAGGCAGTCTGCAAATTCAGAACCAGTACCTCATGCTTTATTCACTTACTCGGTTGCATCTGTGGAGCTAAGACTAATAACATAGAGTAGCTGCAAGCGACTCGCTAACATTTTGAAGAAACCCAGTTCGAACCTTAGCAAATAACTGGTTATCCTACATAATTGTGTCGTGTTAGGCAAAACCACCAGACATATCAATAGAGAACATTACGACACATTACGGTAACTTCCATCAGACCCCTTCTCATTCCCTAATTTGTAGTCAACCTAGCATATCTCATTCAACTCGTGATCACCCTGCTTACAATATTTTCCTCATCACTGCATAACCTATGCAAATGACACAGCCTCGTGAAGCTTCATTGTTTGTTTTTGTGACTTTTTGCCGTGACAGTCCAAACCTATTACAGTTCTCCGTGGACGCTATGGTCCTCTTTAGCCATTTTGGAAGGGCTACTGGTTTATTGGCGAGACCGATTTATTAGCATGTTATGATTTGTTTCTCGTGTCTGGACAGAAAACAACTGCTTTGTTTTTGTTTACATTTAATCTGCATGACCGGAAGGGGACACGGTCACCACGGGAGGCAAGTAACAACAGAAGATGTGAATTTTGTTTTCTTGATATGTGTAGCTGTCATGAAATGTGTTCGGAAGGGTGTAGCTGGACCCTAAACTAAAGAAAGTAACCGCTCTCACACGTGATCTTCCCAGTTCTGTATCTTGGGAACTGTTTTATTCTCAAAGTGTGTTATGCCATTGGCTTGTGCCGATTGCATGATGAATTTGGTCAGTTAAATTCAACCAATGGGAAATGAATTCCTGTCTGTGAGAGAGGCCGTCGATTCAAATCCTTCTTGGGGATGAAGCGACGCTCCCGCAGGATACCAGTCTTCGGAAACTTGGCGTTTTGAGTTGATCGGAGGCAGACGCCATTGGACTGCACTCCTCATGTTTCTCTAAATTCATTAGTCCTTCACTTTGGATCGTTAAAACTTGATAATATTAAATGGCCATATTACTCCGTGCTTGCAAATAAATTGTAATATTTCGCTTCTGAATAAATAAACAGTTTGTGGACAGTGGAAGTTGTGTTGTTGATTTCGGGCAGTGAACTGGCTTCAAATGTGCACTTTCCGGTTGCCTCAGTTATTACCGTAACACGATCCTGATAGGGGTCCAGCACATAAGTACAAAGAAAGAAAGGGGGGACAGTAACATTGCGTTCTGTGAAATTTAGAAGGCAATGAGTGAAGCAGATGTGGACCATTTCACAGAACTTTATTTCTCACAGAAACAGCCTTCAATTATTCAATCAGGTCGTCTAGTGACCCGATCTGGAATGAACCTTGATCTGTCACATGCAAATTTTATACTTCACTGCTGAGTTCGTCTGCTAGGCAAAATATAGTAGCAACTGAAAATACACACACGTATTCTACTAGACACACGAATATTGGGTTCGTGTAATTGAGCTTGTTTTAGTGATGACAGTTAAATGAAAGTTCAAAAGGCAATGGATTATCATCATTCACAGACAAGGAAATAATCTCGAAAACAAAACTTAGAAGACGAAATAGATGAAAGGATTAAGTCCTGCAGGTAACTTAGAGCAAAAGAACGAGGTTTGCTTTGGCGTTGGGAGAAACTAGTCGGGGATTAAGGGAAGCTGAGAGAGCAAAGAGAGTTAAAATGAAAGGAGAACGTTATGTCGGAAATGTTATCCCATTATGTAGAATGTTTTGGCTCCCCTTGGTGCATAGAAATGCTTGTGAACACGCTCCTGAATTACGATCCGCAACTTCTGTATGGGAGATTATAAATTAACTCCATTAGGAGGTTCAAAGGGGTGTTAACTTCCTCGTGATAAAACGCATGTGTACTTAAGACCTAGATAAAACAGACTGACCGTGGCATAGATGAGGCACTTACTCGCTGGATTCCTACTGCGGGGGCCCTCGTTCAGTGCCATAACAGTCCATATTTTCGAGTAAAATGTTATCAATTTCGGTTTGATTTGATCGTGTAATATAAATAAAATTATTTCCGATCATAGTGGATGCGCGGTCTGAGGCAAGAAATGGCTTCGCCAGCTGAAACACTGGGATAGTGAGTTTGAATCTCACTCAAGGCATGGAAGTGTGTGTGCTGTACTCTATAGGCAGCGGCCTTACGATTGCTTCATCACACGTCCAAGGAGTCCTACTCAATATGTATGAAATTCAGATTTTATAATTAATTAATTCTGAATGGGCACAGGCGAAAGAGCTTAATCCGTGAAGATGGAGGAATGAATTCAATTGGTATGGCTGTAGTTAGTCAGATTCCTCACGTAATAGAGGGTTATGTCACGTCTAATATTTCGTTTGTATGACAGGTTGCAGTCATTGTAAACTGGAAAATACGAGAGTGTTGATTTATTCATTTTTTTACCTTGGCACTACAGCCCCAGTGGGCCTAGGCCTATCTCCATGAACTTCTCCGTTTACTTCGGTTTTTCTAGATCTTACACATTCGGTAGGACTCCTTGGGCGGGTGATCAGCTCGTCGCAAGGCCTCTACCTGTACACAAACACAGGAAAACGCACACACAAACTAAACATCCATACCCTGAGTGGGATTCGAACCCACGATCCCGGTTTCCAAGCGAGCGAAGACAGTACATGCCTTAGACCGCTCGGCTACCGTGACCGGGGATTTATTCATTTAAATTAGGAAATTCTAGATTTAATATTAGAACCAGCCGTAAATATGAAGTTTTCAGGTCTGCAGAGCACTTTACCAGTATTTTTAACAGTTCGAGGTGCTAAGAGCCAATGTGGTCTAAATCACAGATCCATTCGCTTGCTGTTTGTGATTGGAGGAGGAACATTTCTGTACACTCTTAGTACGTTTAAATCACACAATTACAATCTGGAGAATAAGTTTTTCGTCCAGAACTTCATAATTCCGGAAGGACGTTGCACAGAAGACTGTTTAGGACATTCTGTTTATGACATCAATAGCAAATGGACGTTCCAAGCGAAGTCCCGCCGAATTCCAAATCCTCGACATTTGTAACCTTTTAGACAATCAGCGACAGTTTTTTTGGAAATTAATTCACAACAGCCTAATTTTGGTTTATTTAAATGAAATATTAATTACCGGGATATAAAATTCAGTATAAAGGCTAAAATATAGGCCTTGGTGCCGATGCAGTTACCACAGTGAACTTGCATTTTTGGAAAATGACATGTGCTCAGGATAGGGACCGGTGGAACGCTCTTGTGAACATGGTAATGAACCTTCGGGTTGCATAAAATATTGAGAAGTTCTTGAGTATCTACACTATTGGCGCCTTTTCATGAACGGCTCAACTCCATTCGGTAGTTACACGTGCTAACGAATCTAAGTAAAGTGACCCTTCATTTTGTGACTCTGTGAAAGGATCATCGCGGTTGTGCAACTCTGATCGTCTTGCTTATGGCCTACTAACACGACCCCGAAGAGAATCAAATGCTCACTTGAGCTAAGTCACACCAGCATCCACTGCTAGGGAACGATCAGTCGACATCTGGTATGACTTATCTGTCCAGAATTATCCTACTGGAGTCCAGTAAAATCTTATTGTGACAGGTGAACCCACTGTCACTTCCTAGGTAACGCATCGTCAGGACAGTACGTGACAACCAGCGTCTATTGCTAGTCAACAGCTAGCAATTCCTAGGTAGTTAATTGTTTGAGGCAGTTGCATGATAACAACAGCGGCCAGTAGAAGTCAACGGCTAGGTAAACATG